TCACATGCAATCTGAAATACTTCCATCAAACTGCTCAACACAGCCCTCATGTCATTTTCTCAGTTATTGCTTTAAAACGTTCACATTCTACTTATTATCTTTCTTGGCGAGTTCTCCCTCAACTCTCTAGAGCAGCGGTTCTCAACCTGTGGGTCATGACCCCTTTTTAACAATGAAAATACATTGCAGCATTAGGAAGGTTGAGAATCATTGATCTAGAGTCCTTTCTTTGGCAGATTCATCTAGAAGCACATTTTACCATGTGCTTTAGCACATTAAACATCTCAAAGTAAAAGTCTCTTAACATTAACATTCTTATTTGTCTTATCTATCTGAAGTTCTAAGTAGCTAGCCAGAATGTAGAATTATCAGGCAAAAAAGTCTCCCACTAATAAAAATTATAATTTTTTAAACCAATATATAAATCAATTCCTTTACATGATAGCATTGTTCAAGAAAAAGATATTCCTTAAGTTATTTACACAAATCTTATAATCTAAATTCACCTAAAGGAAGTTAATGGAGAGAGATAACAGAAGAAATAAAATTCTGTTTTTATCACAATCTTCATGCCTATGTAAAGATAGGACCTATCAATTTAAAACTGAGGAGAAAATCCTCCCATAAATAGCAAAATTATGACACAATGTGTCTTACATTCTTCTACAGAATTGCTTCCAAAATAGTCTTTTCTACTATTTACCTTTGGAAATCCTTTCAACTCAGATGTCAACACAACCAAAGGGTAAACTTTTACTTTAGTATTATGAACCATTATGTTACTATGCTCATTATTTTATAAAATTTTGCTAATGTTGATTTTGACACAGTAAATTTTAAGTTTCTTGGGTTCAGGGGAATATGTTTTATTGCTCTTTTAATTTCTATTGTTTTCCACAAGGCCAGACATAAAGTGCACCTGTAATCACTGATATGCCAATAATCTGAATATTTAAAAACAAAAGTCCTATTTGTAATGTTTGCCAATTCCCATAGTGTAAATATTCTCATTATGAGTGACTTCATGCTACTAATATGACATTCCTGAATGCAGAGTTGGAAAGATAGGCACACAATGGGTTCTTCTAAGCTGGTGTGTACTGGCTCCAACAGACTGCTGGACCCCAGTGTTGGTGGGATGCATGGGATATTTCTCTCATCTATCACCTCTTTTCCAGTGGCAATATAATTGATGTGACTCCCTTTAGGTTTCCATATCTATTTTTCTCTGAATTTTCTTTACCTTTTTATTCAGCTGAAGGGTTTTTTTTTGTTTTTTTTTAATCATTAGGCCTTAATTTTAATTAAAATTAACAATTCAGATGAAGAAAAGGACTAGAGTAGTGTTTATTAAGCTTCTGAGAAATCACATTTATATAAAAGAAATGAAACAGGTCAGCAGAAGTACAAAAAAGGATGCAGCTTACATTATTGCACTTGGATGAAATATGCTGCGTATGGTAGCATAATTTTCAGGCCAGGCTAGGCCAGGAGGAGGAAGAGACAGAAGAAGAGTACAAACCTCCAGGTAACATTTATTCTGGATTCCAAACTCTCCAATGGCTTTGAAAGTATTTAGTATATTAGGAACCTTCAATATACTCTTCACAAATAACTGTACTATTTTCACATTTCGGTTACACTCATACTTTGTTCCAGTCATGTGCAAGTTCAATGTACAGTTCCATCTTACATAATGGGACATCTGTAATACTGAGATATCCCAGTGCCCAAGGTCATGGACAAGAGGGCAAGGGAGTGAATTTCCACTTTACATATTTTAGGGAATAGTACTATAGCTACTACCATTTATCCTTTTGAGCACTCTTAATTTTGGTCATTTATATCAGAATTTGAAAAGAAGTGATAATCAGTACAAATGAGTACTAACCTAATTCCTAGGCTGCTACTAGAAAATAAAATAAAATTTAAAAACAAGTCCCTTGCCACATTCATGAAGGTGGCAATAACTGTATGTGTAAGGCTGTAAACTTACAGAAAAGATAAACTCTGGCTTCTAAACAAATTATAAAATTCATTTTGTCTTTATCCTTGAGTGTCATACAGAAAAATGTAAACCTGTGGACCTAGTTACCAGAAAACATTTATCCTCCTAAGCCAAGTATGGCCTTAAAGTTTGGCCTGGGCCAGCTTTATCTTCAAGTTTTCTCCAAGTTTGTCCATGAATTCAAATGTATTCAAGTAGTCAGAACGTTGCACGTTAGGTAAACCTTTAATGCAAATAGCCAAGTCCTTGGTCATGAAGCCAGCCTCAATGGTCTCAATACAGACTTCTTCCAAAGCCTTTGCAAAGAGGTCAAGTTCTTTATTGTTATCAAGCTTTGCTCTGTGGGCTAATCCTCTGGTCCAGGCAGAAATGGAAGCAATGGGATGAGTGGATGTCTCCTGTCCTTTCTGGTACATGCGGTTGTGATGGGTTACGGTCCCATGGGCTGCCTCTGCTTCTACTGTTTTGCCATCTGGACAAACCAGCACACTGGTCATCATGCCAAGAGAACCATAACCTTGGGCCACAGAGTCCGACTGCACGTCACCATCATAGTTTTTGCAGGCCCAAATGAAGCTTCCTTCTGATTTCTGGTGGCTTGGGCCACCGTGTCATCGATGAGCCTATGTTCATACCAGATCTTCTGGGCTTCAAATTGGGATTTGTACTGCTTGTCATATATCTCCTGAAAGATGTCTTTAAAACGTCCATCATATTTCTTCAGAATAGTGCTTTTGGTGCTCAGATACAAAGGTCAACCCTTAGACAGAGCCATTTGGAAAGAACTGTGTGCAAAATCTTGGATTGACTTATCTTAAATGTACATACCCATGGCAACACCACCACCATCTTCAAAGTTATGTACCAAGTATGTCACCTTTTGGGTTCCATCATTTGGTGTGTAGGTTATCTCTACTTTTCCAGGCCCAGGAACAACAAAATCAGTTGCTCTGTATTGGTCCCCATAAGCGTGATGACCTATGATGATGGGTTTCACCCATCCACTCTCAAGCCGGGGGATATTTTTGCAGATAATAGCTTCCCTGAAGACAGTGCCACATAGAATATTTTGGATGGTGCCGTTCGGTGATTTCCACATTTGTTTCAACTTGAACTACTCAACCCTCTTCTCATCGGGGTGATAGTAGCACACTTGACCCCTACGTTGTATTTTTTTATGGCCTCTGCAGCATCCTTGGTGACTTGGTTGCTGGTGGCATCACAATTCTCTATGCCTAAATCATAGCTATGTAGATCCAGTTCCACATAGGGAAAAATGAGTTTTTCTTTTATCAATTCCCAGATGATCCGTGTCATTTCATCTCCTTGCATCTCTACCACAGAACCACCACTGATTTTTTTGGACATTTTGACTTCAATAAACCTTTGCAAGTGAATCCATTTCTAATCCCTCCAAGTCCTCTCAGTCTTGCAGTCTCAATTGAATGCAGTTTATTTTCTGCTGGAGAAGGAACGCTGGCAAAGCGCAAGGGTCGCCACAGCCACTCTCACTCTAAACTCACACACGTACAGGCAGGCAGTCCTAATTGGACCCAAGCTCTCTCCAGCTGAAGGTTTTAAAAGCTTCTTAAATCAGTGTATTAAATAGTCACCATAAGTCTCCTTTTAGGGACCAGACATTGTGGAGGTAGCTCTGTGTAAGTATGCATAGGCTGGGAACTATGGATTTTTTACATTCGCTCTTTGGTTGGTTAAGGGAACCATGTAGGTACTTTAAGGCGTTTGTGAAACCTCTGAAGTTTTATGGAAAATAATGTAATGTTTTATCTGTGAAGAAGGGATTGTGGATTTCATTAGATTTTCAAGAGACCACTATGCAGAAAAATGTTAAGAACCTATGCCCTAACTTCCTTGCAATCTACTTTACGATCTTTTCTAATACTCCAAACATCCCATTCTCGGTAATAAATTAATGAGTATGCTTCATCTCTGAAGCATTTCTTTGTACTGTCCAACAATGGCTAATGATTTACATGGCATGACCTAGGTATTGCTACCTTTTTAATTATGATTTATCCATGAGGAAAACAAGCTAACATATATTCAAAGATAGTACCAAAACATTTTAAGACATGGCATGGATTCATGGAGATTCAGGTCTTAATATAGATCTTACAGAACTTCTGCTAGATGCTTTGGTAGATAATGCAACACAGTGGTGAAGAGTGTGGCATCTTAGATACAGGATACCTGGGTCCAAATCTCAACCCTGTCCCATGTTAGTCATGTGGCCTTTGGTGGCCTAAATATCTCTGAACCTGTTTCTTCATCTGTAATATGTAATTTGTATCATTAAATATTTCATTTTGCTGTTTTAAAAAATAAGTGGAATGAATCTTAAAAGCAATTATTATAGTACATCACCCAGCATGAAACAAAGAGTCCATAATGATAGTTTCTAGAAGTGGAATTTTTATTATTTTATTATTATTTCCCTTATTAAACTGTAAATGTGTTGGGGTGACACATCATAGTTCTATTTTATGACTGAAAATGCTAACATATTTACCAGATATTTGTTGAATAAATTAAAAAATGCAAAAGTACATATCCAATAAGCAGTAATTTACCAAGGTTGCTTTTTTACCAGGTTTTGTTCAAATCCCCAAATCTCTGTTTATTTTGTAAGGAGCAGATTGAGGATAGCCTTACGGATCTGTTTTGTTTTTATACTATAGATAATGGGGTTGAGTGCAGGGGGCAAAAGCAAGTACACATTGGCCATCATTGAATGGACCACTTTGGGAGCTGACCGACCATAGCGATGTACCAAGGACAAGCTCACCATGGGAATATAGAAAACAGCAACTGCCCCAATGTGGGAGACACAGGTGCTGAAGACCTTATGCCGTTCTTCAGGGGAGGCAATACTCAGGACAGCGTGAATAACTAAGATATAAGACAGAACAATGCATGATGCATCTATCCCTGTGGTCAGGATAAGATCAATTAACCCACAGATGCTGTTAGTCCGAATGTCTGAACATGCCAATTTAATCACATCTGGATGGTAACAGTAGGAGTGGGACAGGACATTCATTCTGCAGAAATAGAGAGGCTTGAGCAGCAAGAGCAATGGAACTATTAGTACCACAGTACGTAAAATCATCAGGATGCCCAACTGAATGATTCTGGAATTCGTGAGAATGGCAGAGTACCTCAGAGGATCACAGATTGCCACATAGCGGTCAAAGGCCATGGCCACCAGCACCCCAGATTCCAGGCAAGTGAATCCATGAAGAAAAAACATCTGGATAATGCAGCTATCTAGACTGATCTCACGTGCATCAAACCACAGGATACCTAGTGTTGTTGACATTGTAGAAACAGTCAGGCCCAGATCGGTGGCTGACAACATGGAGAGGAAATAGTACATGGGTTCATGGAGACTCTGCTGGGTAATGATGACAAACAGGATCATGCTGTTCCCAGAGAGGGCAATGGCATAAAGACAACAGAAAGGAATGGACATCCAGGCATGGACAGACTCTAGGCCAGGAATGGCAGTCAGTAAGAAGGTTGGAAATTTAGATGTCCAATTACTTAGAATTTCCATGTTGTCCTGGCTTTTTAGTAGTTGTCCTCACAATGTTCACATCCTATAGAAGGAATAAATTGCATTGTGATGCAAAAATGTTTAGAGACATTTTATTTTAGTTAGTAGAGTTATTCAAGGTCATAGATAAGTTCTGCATCATTGAGAACACTCTTAATATAATATTCCTTTACCACTCATAATCAGGTATATTTGATACATATATAGATTTTTTCCTTAAATTTAAGAAAAATATATGTCCATAAGGTTGTACACATTTTTATGTTAATTATTTTTAATATTTATATGATTTTAAGCTCTATTGGATTGTAAGATTCTATGAATAAAGACTTAAAAAAACTTCAGTGTATTCAATTATTTATTTATTTTCAGTCCATTCAATTTTGAATATATTGTGAACAAAATGAGTAAGAGAAAGCCACTTAAAAATATACATGGTTCTACAGTGACCATGTGGATGTGAATCTGTAGACACAGAGCTCCAGTGTTTTTCAGTAATGTAAGTTTGGAAGTTCTCCTTGCACATTAGTCATTTTAATTCAACAGTATTGGTGAACAACCCTAGAGAGTAGATTTACAAGACAAGACCACTGAAGACAGAGCTCTCTAGAAGTTACTGGAAAGGACTATACACACTAAAACAAGATGAGACTGGCTTTTACAGGAATCATAAAAACCATAAGAGCATGGGTATCATGACTGAGTGTTACAGGAACAACTGTGCAATTGCTTGGACAGTCAAGTCTAGTGAGTATTAAAAAAATCAAATGCAGCCTTGGTGCCCATAGCACATCAGTTATGCACCAGCCATATACACTGAGGCTGGTGGGTTTGAATCCAGCCCTGGCCTGCCAAACAACAATGACAACTGCAGCAAAAATAGCCAGATGTTATGGCTGGCACCTGTAGTCCAGACACTTGGGATGGTGAGGCAAGAGAATCACTTAAGCCTAAGATTTTTTTTTTTTTTTTTTT